TGTTCACAGGGAAACCTACACCCAAAGGATATCTGCACAGAAGGGGTGCTTTAATCACGTGTTCACAGGGAAACCTACACCCAAAGGTCACAGCAACTTTTTTTTATAATCGCTCACACTGGAGACTGTTCAGATGCTCTTAGGTGATGGCCAAAAACACTGCAGTAAAAACATTCTCAGCAATAAAATGGAAAAAAACTTGACATATAGGACAACTTGGGGTACATCTCTAGAGACTTACACACACTAAGTGAAAATAGCCAATCCCCAAAGGTTTACATACGGTATGATTGCACTTACCTCCCACTCCTAAAGCAGTAACTTTACATAAACACAAAGTAGATGAGAGACTGCCAAGAGTCAGGGATGGAAGAAGGAAGGCTCACGGGGGTATGGTTATAAAAGGTGACACCAAAGATCCTTACAGTGAGGCTAGAGAAATGGCTCACTGGTTAAAAGTACTCTCTCTCACGTAAGTGTTGCTGTTCCAGAGGACCCAAGTTCTATTGCCAGCCCCAAAGATGGCTCACAGCCATCTCTAACTCCAGCTCCAGGGACCCAATGCCTCTGAGGCACCTGCACTCACATTAAAAATAATAAATCTTAGCTGAATGGTGGTGACACACACCTTTAATCCCAGCACTCAGGAGGCAGCAGGAGAATTTCTGAGTGAGAGGCCAGCCTGGTCCTCAGAGTGAATTTCAGGACAACCAGGGCTACACAGAGAAACCTCGTCTCAAAAAATAAAAAAAAAAAAAATTAAAAAAAAACTAATATTAATAAATTTAAAATCTTTTAAAGTAAAAGACAAAGTGATACAGACTTGTTCCGCAGCCTGACCCTCACAACAGATCCATGAACCTATACAGGGCAAAGCTGCACAAGACCACAGGCACCGGCCTATGCACACACGCACACAGAATGAGAAACTTGGTAAGATTAGATAATGTCAATTCCCTGATTGTGACAGTCAAAGAAAGTTTCATAAGATGATATGGTGAGGGATACTGAACAAAGAGCGTACAAGATTCTTTTCTCTCTCTCTCTCTCTCTTTTTTTTTAATTTGAGACGAAGTCCCAATAGTTCAGGCCGACATGGAAGTTATGTCATTCCGAATCACAGAACTGCTTCTACCTCCAAAGGGCTGGGATTTGAGGTGTGTACCACCTTCCTTTCATTAGTTCTTATAACTGTGTATGAATCTCTAATTCTCAAAAAGTTTCATTAAAAAACTAATCTTCAGCTTTATGATCACAAGTTTTTAAGCTTTGATGACTAAGTTGATCCCAGCACTTAGGAGGAAGGGGCAGGCAGATCTCTGAGTGTGAGGATAGCTTGATCTACAGAGTGAGCTCTAGGACATCAGGACTTACACAGAGATCCTGTCTTGAGAAACCAAAAACAAAAAAAAAAAAAAAAAAAAAAAAAGGATAATTGGATTACTGCCTTACTCAATAACTTACTTTCAAAGTTATATCAGATTTACCTGCATCACTACCTCCATGGTTAGATTTTGGAATAGGTGGTGGGGTGACGTGGTTGCTGATGGCAACTGAGGATGGTGGGGGAATAGTGATTTTGCCTCCAGGTGGAGGTGGGAGTAAGCTCAGGCCTCCAGTCCCTGTGGCCCGGGGCTTAGAAGTACCTCCTTTCTTGGTTGTAATGTTCTGAAAGAGAGGGAGAGAGAGAGAGAGGAGAGAGATCACTGACCTAAAGAATAATAGGAAAATGATTTTGAAAACAAAGCTGATACTGAGTCGGCAGACAACCTTAGTCCCAGCACTCTGGTAGCAGAAGCAGGCAAATATGTGAATTCAAGGCTAGCCTGAGCTACATAGCAAGTTTCAGGCCAACCAGGGCTATACAGTGATATTTTGTCTCCCAAAAGAAAACAGGGGTTGGAGAGATATCTCAGCAGTAAAGAGCACTGGCTGCTATTCCAGAAGACACAGGTTTGAATCCCAGCACCACCACAGCACCCAGAGCAGCTAACACATCTGTAACTGCAGTTCAGAGGATTCAACACCCTCTTCTGGGCTATGATGCATGAATATATATGCAGGAAAACACTCATATGCATAAAATAAAAATAAAGAAATCACACTTACCCCAATACTCAACTTGATGGTCTGTCCTTCCTTGAAGCCTAAATCCAACTTGGGACGATTATCCATCTCCTGAGATTCTTTGGAAATCTCAGTTTCCTGCTTTACCCACCTTTGGGGAAATAATTTATCTCAGTTTGGAATTCCCTGAAGCCAGAATCTGACACAAATCTGACTCTATCTCACTCAGATGAACTGGAATTCCAAAGTGGGGACCCATAAGACATGAGAGAAAAGGAAAAAAATATCCCAGAGAGGCCAGCTGGGTTCAGACTGAGGAGCAACACGGAATGCATGGGAGGTGCAGCCCTACGGCAGGTCCAGCCCCGTGGCAGGGCACTGCCCCACAGGACATGTGTGCTACCATGTTCTTGCAGGTTCCATCTCTGGGTGTTAAATTCCAGAGTCCTGAACAATAAAGAGAGCTACCCTGTCCTAGAGATGGGAAGTGATGTGGCGCTCGGTGATGCTCACTACAGCTAGGCCAAACCCAGTTGGGCTGAAGAAATACAGGCAGAAGGCACATGGGCTGCGAACTGGCAGAACGGGCACACCTATCCATGCACAGGCCCGCTGCTGCTGTGTGCCCCCACCACCACCATTCTAAAAGCACGATTATGAACGAGCATCAACACAAACCACCGCACAAGGATCCAAGATACATTACATGCTCACGGAAAGAGTGGAACACGCACAAGGGAAAAGGTAAAGACAGACGAGAGGAACACCTGGTCAGCAGCAGCACCCAGCCACCACCACCCCCGCACCCCATAATTATTTACCCTGAAGTCTAAGGACAAGCTTCACTCACTTGAAGTGATCTTGCAGCGAAACGTTGAAGTCGAAGGCGTCCCCCCGATCTGTGAAGCCAATGCCAATAAATGCACTTCGGCCTGTGAAAAGGAGGAATTTCAGAAACCGTCTTCCTTATGGCAACTTCTGCCTATCCTGTCACACAAACTGCTAAAATCTGCTCAGCGATAACACGCAGCCGAAAGGTAAGACTTTTACAGCATGAGCCTGAACAAGAAGTTATACTGAAATACAGCCACATCGACTCCAACGGATGTGTCTGTGGCTACTTCACCCTGCAACCACCAAACTGGGAGCAGCAGTTACAGCTTGACCCACAAAGCCAAAAGTATTCATTGTCTTTGATTACCAACCTATTAAAAAGTATGAAGGGACCGGCGTGGTGGGTGGTACCTGTATTTAAGCCCAGCAAAGGTGGGCCAATCTCTCAGTTCAAGGCCAGTCTGACTACATTGCAAGGTCAAGACCAGCCAGGACTACAACAGAGTGACTCTACCAAAATAAACAAATACATAGTGAGTGAATGAATGAATAAATAAATAAATATAAATGGCTGAGAACTACTGCCCTACATAATGACTCTAAATAGATAGGGAGGGAGGGAGGGAGGGAGGGAGGGAGGGAGGGA